TTCAGCCTCTCTATGTCTTTTGAATGGAACACTTAATCCATTTACATTTAAAGTAATTATTGATATGTATGTACTTATTGCCATTTTATTTTCATACTGGCTTTATAAGTGATTGGTCTACTACCTTTACTATATGTTTGCCTTTACTAGTGAGATTTTTTTTTTCTTTTATATTATTTTCTCATTTCTAGTTTTGGCCTTTTCTTTTCTGCTTAAAGAATTCCCTGTAACATTTCTTGTAATGCCAGTTTAGTGGTGATGAACTCAGCTTTTGCTTGTCTGGGAAACTCTATCTCTCCTTCAATTTTGAATGATAACCTTGCTGGGTAGAGTATTCATGGTTGTAGAGTTTTACCTTTCATCACATTGAATATATCACGCCACTCCTTTCTGGCCTGCAAAGTTCTGCTGAAAAATAAGCTGATAACCTTATGGGGGTTCCCTTGTACATAATTAGTTGTTTTTCTCTTGCTGCTTTTAAGATTCTCTCTTTCTCTTTAACTTCTGACATTTTAATTATGATGTGTCTTCGTGTAGGTCTCTTTGGATTCATCTTGTTTGGGACTCTATGTACTTCCTGGACTTGGATTTCTGTTTCCTTCACCAGGTTAGGGAAGTTTTCAGCCACTATTTCTTCAAAGAAATTTTCTGTCCTTTCTCTCTTCTCCTTCTGGGACCCCTATAATGCAAATGTTAGTATGCTTGATGTTGTCTCAAAGGTCTCTTATGCTATCCTCATTCTTTTTAATTCTTTTTTTGTTTTGCTCTTCCAATTTGGTGACTGCCACTATCCTGTCTTTCTGATCATTGATCCATTCTTCTGTGTCATCTGATCAGATGTTGGTTCCCTCTAGTGTATTTTTCATTTCAATTGTTATATTCTTTAGTTCTGATAGTGGTTAACAAAATCCAATAAGTTTCAGCTGTACACTTTAACAATCACACACACACACATACATATATATATATATATATTTATCTCTGTTGAAGTTCTCTTTGAGTTGATCTACTTCTCTGCAGAGTTTGATGAGCATCTTTATGACTACTACTTTGAACTCTTTATCTAGTACACAGCTTACCACTGTTTTATTTAGTTCTTTTTCTGGAGTTTCGTCTTGTTTTTTTGTTTTTGTTTTTGTTTTTGTTTTTTTATTTGTAACATATCCTACTGTTTCTTCATTTTGCCAGTTTGGTTCTCTGTATTAGGTAGATCAGCTCTGTCTCCTGGTCTTGAAAAAGTGGCCTGATATAGGTGTCCTTTGGATCAGGCGCTCCGAAGGTGTCCTTGTGTGAACTAATGTGGCCTCCTGTTATAGCTGGGCCACAAATGCTATGGACACACTGGTAGGCGAGGCCGGTCCCTGGCCTGGCTGATTGTGAGACCTGGCCACACTGTTGTGGGTATACTGGTATGCAGGGCAGCCCCCCGGGTGCAGCTGGCTGGTGGGTATGGCTGCATCTGCTGCTGGCACACTGGTGTGTGGCTAGCTGCAAGGCCCAGACTCAACTGCTGCAGACAGACTGCTGTGCACTGGTGCTGACTGAGGCTGCCCGCCAGGTAGTGGGACAGGAGCTATTTGGGGGGAACCAGTGTCAGCTGAAGCCACCCACCAGATATAGCAAGACAGGAGCCACTTTGGAGGGATGCCAGCCAGGGTGGGTCCTCAGGGAAATGCCACTGTGGGGCGAACAGTGTTAACAAGGTTAATGAACGGTGTCAGAAATGGTGCCTGCCAGTGTCGGACCAGGTAGGTAGGAAGAAAGTAAAGAAAGGGAAAATGATGGTGCCCACCAGCACTTATGTCCCTGGAGAATATTCCAACAAATCCCTGCTCCTCCATCACATGCCTTAAAATTAGTTAACGTATCACCTTCACATATGACCCAAGTGCTTTTCAAACTGCTGCCTCTATGCCGGGACTCGGACAGGGTGCAACCTGGGTTTCTTACAGTCCTTTGGCTCTCCCAGATATATAAGCCCCGTTGTTTTTCAAAGCCGGATGTTATGGGGCCCCTCTCCCCTGCCTCTATGCCGGGACTCGGACAGGGTGCAACCTTGGTTTCTTACAGTCCTTTGGCTCTCCCAGATATAAGCCCCGCTGTTTTTCAAAGCTGGATGTTATGGGGCCCCTCTTCATGGTGCAGGTCCCCTAGGCTGGGGCTCTGGCCCTTGCTCTTCAGCAGGGACCTCCAAGGTTGTGATATCCCTCCCTCTTGTGGGCCACCACATGGGGAATTGAGGAGTAGGGTGGGTCCTAACTAGATTAGTCTCTGCCCCTCCTACCCATCTCAATATGGTTTTCTTTATATCCTCAGTTGTAGAAACTCTGTTCTGCTAGTCTTCAGGTCGTTCTCAGAGATAGCTGTTCTACATGTACTTGTAGTTTTGGTGTCAATGTGAGGAGGTAAGCTCAGGATCTTCCTACTCCACCATTCTGAACCCAAAGCTAGAAGCCTTGCTATGGAATGACAATATAGCTTGTCCTGTTTGACACAAACAATTTTCACTTAAATCACCTGCCTGCTTTTTAATCTTAAAAGTAACATCTTCTCTAAAGCTTTATCTGGTTATTAGCTATTGTATGCATATGAAGAACTGAAAATACCTTGAAACAAAGACATTTTCCCAACCAACCTCTGCTAGTCCTCAAGCCATCTAGACTGATAATAAAGGACCACAGGGGTGGGAGGAGGATTTCTTTGCCTATCGGATCTCTGATTTCTATCATTATTATAACTTCCATAACATATTTTGCAAATAACTCTTGCGTTGTCTTCCTTCAGTTTGCCTTAGATTATGTTTTAATTAGTAACAATACTCAAAATAATTTTAATTTACTGAGAGTGATACCCAGTCTGATGTTTTATTAGGAACTCTTGGAAGCTGCCTACAGCGATTTACCACAATGCCATTCTTATTCTGTAACATCAATGATGTATGTAATTTTGCATCTCGAAATGATTATTCATACTGGCTGTCAACACCAGCTCTGATGCCAATGGACATGGCTCCAATTACTGGCAGGGCCCTGGAGCCTTATATTAGCAGGTAAAAATTGAGTCCCTTAGTTTTGTGATGGGACCAGGTGAATCACTTCATTTGAAATGGAACCATAAACAGCATATCACATTGCAGAAAGTGGTGACATCACCATATTGTTTCACGTTACAGATGTACTGTCTGCGAAGGTCCTGCGATGGCCATAGCCGTTCACAGCCAAACCACCGACATCCCCTCATGTCCCCAGGGCTGGATTTCTCTATGGAAAGGCTTTTCTTTCATCATGGTAAGGAGAAAAGGAGAGCAGATTCGTAGTAAAGACTGCTTGTAGAATCTGGTCTGCCCCCAGAAATGATTTACTTGACATCAACATGTGCAATATGTCACACACATTTCCTTGAAAATCTGAAAATATACCCTTTTTTAAAAAGCAGTAAGTTGGTTTTGGGTAAATAATGGAGCATTTTAAAAAACAGACTTCTCAGGAGATTACCCACAAGTTCTAAAGAAGACATTTAGGTAAATAGTAGCACCACGCTGATACTCGCGTGTCTATTTTTAAGGTGGCACATATTTTACATATATCCATCATAATCCTATGAAAACCTTGCAAAGTAGTTTCTATCATCTACAGATTTATGAAAAGAAGAAAAAAAAATAGCGTAATTTTCCCAAGGTCTCACAACCATTGAATGGTAAAGCTACGCCCCTTTAACAGTCACATGAAGATGGAAACTAAGAGAAAGAGGCTTTTAAAGAAAAATTCCCTGGATGTAAGTGCTAAATGAAGAAATCTATGAACTGCCCATATGTGAGTCTGGTAGCTACACATATGTGGTTAGTGGTTATTCATATTCTATGTAGCATCATTTATGATACATCATTCCCTATTCTTTACTCACAGATGTCACTCATTAAATCATTAATTCAACAATTATTTATTGAACACCTACCATGTGCCATGAATGTTCTAAGCACTAAGGATATCTACAAGCAGTGAACCTCAGTTCCTTCTCTCATGGAGCTTATATCCTAGTGGAGAAGGCAGACGATAAATAAGATGACACAATAGCAGTAATAGTAATGAGTTCAGATGGTGAGTGGTACTACGAAGGACCTAAGCAAGATCAGGAGCGAGACCGTGACAGGGATGAGGTCAAAGAAAGCCTTTTGGAAGTTATATTTAAGCAGATCCCTGAACAACAAGAAAGGACCAGTCATGCCTAAGGGAAAGGAGTATTCCAGGCAGAAGAAACAGCTTTAACTTTCTTTTTGATGACCACACCTCAGTTTGGAAAGTAACTGCAGGGTTATCAAAGCTGGGTAAAGAAGCATAAGGTTAATTCATGCTTTTTTTCCTTATTGTCTTCTATTATTATTATTATTTTCTTTTTTTTAAAAAAAAGAGCATTGAAAATTTCAACACCATGAGCAGAATTCTTATTCAGATATTTCTGTTGTGCTAGTTCACGAGCGCAGGTTCTGAGGGTGCTGGGCAAGCATTGGCGTCCCCTGGATCCTGCTTGGAAGAATTCCGAGCCAGTCCATTTATCGAATGCCATGGAAGAGGAACATGCAACTACTATTCAAATTCCTACAGTTTCTGGTTGGCTTCGTTAAACCCAAAAAGAATGTTCAGGTAACAATTCAAAGTCAAGTTTAATTTAATGACATGATTGCAGAATATTAAAAGGTTGCCTATTATTAGATTTTTATTATCTGTGTGTTGACATACTCACATTTTAAAAAATCTCTCATGCCAGTAAAATCCTGTTTAGATTGGCGCTTCCAGTTTACAAGAATCTACAAGTAGCTATGGTTTGTACTACTGTACCAATAAAGGCAAAAAAAATGTGATTTTTGTCATCACTAGCTATATTTATTATTTATATATGAATCTATAGTAAATTACTGAGTAAAACCACTAAAAGAACTGCCAATCTTAATTTACTGTATTGGAAGACTTTTAAGACAAACTATTTAAAGAGTAGGGGTAGCTTTCATTACAAAAAAAATAATCTGTAAGTTCGCATCATGGTCTGTTTCCTTAGTGCTACTGAAGTAAGACTAAAATCATAAAGTGTCAATATATATGCCCTTTCAGAAATACACCTCCTATAATAAAGTTTAGATGAGCTACAATATGCATTAACAAAACTCAAATCCAGCAAGCATTCCCTTTTTATCTACGAATTGATAAGATTTTTTTTTTTTTTTCCAGAAAACCTATTCCATCAACTGTGAAAGCTGGGGAGTTAGAAAAAATAATAAGTCGCTGTCAAGTGTGCATGAAGAGAAGACATTGAAGAAATCGAAACAGCAGAACTGTTATTTTTTTATCCTAAATAACCAACTAATGATGCAGAACATGCATTTATTTAGGTATTTTTCTCTAACCAAGCAATATCGTTCTAGAACGGCTTAGTACAAAATTTCTATTTGTTTTCCCATACAACAAAACATTTAAGCTAGTTCTGTGATCCTGGTCTGAAATTGATAGCCAATGCACTATCTAAATGGTGACTATATAAAGAATGATGCTATAAAAGCTATTTGATCCACTAAATTCCCAAGATTTGCCCCCTGCTATTCCAGTCTTTGAGAGTCAGGGAGGCTAAATCAGTTTTAGATTGCCCCACCTCCCTCTTCCTGACGCTTTAGATCCTAAGCAGAGAAGATGGGTTAAGTGTACTAACCATCACTGATAGAACTGGACTTTCAGGTCTGTTGATTAACCTAAGGCCTGAGGGAACCAGAACCGAACTGAGGTTCATGGATTGCCTGGGGCTCTTTCAAACATACCCAAGACTAAGGCCGAAAAGGGATTCCCTGAGAGGAATCACAATAGCCTTGGACGCACTGTATGGCCTGGTTTTGTTTTGTTTTTTTCGGTGTTTTTATTTGTTCACTGAATTCATTTCACTGCAGCAATATAGTCTGCATGTATTCAAAGTAGGTACAATTTTACACTTTGTGAATTAATTTGAATGGAATATTTTTGCACATATACTCTGAAATGTGCCTAATTTTAGATTTTCTTTTACCAGCACGCCCACACAAATTACAAGAGAACGACTTATTAGCTATGTATTTTATCCGCATTCTTATAAACATTGGTGCATAATTGAGTAGTTCAGTAATCCCTGATAAAAACGTAAGGCATCTGTTGGCTAATCATGCTCAGAATATTTTTCCTTTGCTCTAAATATTCCATTTAACTTTAGTATTTAGAGATTTATTCCCTTGGTATTTCTCTAATTCTTTTTTTTTTTTTTTTGTAAAAATGTTTTCTATGTCACCTATTCTTTCAAACCATATTGAGAAAGTCTATTGTGTAAAAATCTTAATGTACAAATTGTACCACTTGGCAGCTGTGTCTAAAAACTTGCTTTTCAGTGTGTTGATACACTCCCAAGGTTACTTAATTCAACTTAACCAGCACTTTATTCAGTGCCAAGCCATATCACAGGCTAAATTACAGATACTAAGAGGAAAAAGAAATGTTCCTGATCTAATATCCCAGAAAAGGTAACTTTCTGTTTCTGTTAGGAATTCCGCATATCTAAGTCATTTCTCCCTCCCTGCCCTTTTTTTCCTTTATCTTTGTCCTTACATTTCATCATCATAATTCAGCAGGTCTCAATAGAGCTTTAAAAATAAGATCTATGCTAAGGGAGAGCCCAGGACTTCTAGCTTCTCCTAGGCTAGCTTCTCCTAGCATCGTGGAAGCCAAGATCTGGACCATGTTAATAAAACAGAGATCTGCAAAATTAAAAATTAAAAACCATTAAAAACCATTTAGACTTGATGGTCGCACTGTGTGACCAGTCGAAGCAGTCAGGCATCCCAAGACAAGGCTTTGGTGCTGCTTCTTGATCCACCTAAGTGGAGCTGGTGGTGCTGATATTTAAATTCAGGTTTTACTGCTTCAATCTCGGTTGCTTTGTAAGTGAAGATATGGCCCTGCAGGACAGCACAGACTGTGACCAGTCCATATCCCCCACTGCTCATGTGTCTGTCATCAAGCCATTTGTACACTTAAACTAAGAAGCACGTTTCACTTAGATTATTTACTTAGACTCACCTAATATTAAGACTTTTTGCTCTTAAATATCCTACTGTCCCAATTGTACTATAATGGTATATAGGGCTAACAGGTCTCCACAAACCCTCCGTAGACCAGTTCTCAAAGTGTGGTCGCATCAGCAGTATCTGAGAACTTGTCACAAATGCAAATTCTAGGGCCAACCCCAGAACCAGGAAATCAGAAACTCTGGGGCAGGGGCCAGACGTCTTTGTTTTCACAAGCCCTCCAGGTGATTTCCAAGGCACTGTGAAGTCTAAGAAAAACTGCTCAAGGCAGACACCCAAAAAACAATTCTATTGGCAGGTGCAGCTGGCTCCCATTGTTCCATGTGTGCCTCTCTTTTAATTCCAAAAATTGCATATGAACTTAAGGTTATCTAATTTTACTAATAAGAAAAAATCCTAGATTGGTGCTAATGCCAAATGACTGACCTTGGCTTGTCCCCAAGCCTCCATTTCCTTGCGCCCTCTCATAAGTGTTTAACTTCTGAGGAAGACAAGTGACGACAAAACTTTAAATACCAATGAAGCCATATTAATAGTTGCTCAATCATACTTCTAAGACTGAGCATTAAAACATAGCTCATGTACATTGCTTTCCAGATATCTATGAGTAGCTTGTAAAGTTATGAAGATTTAACTTTATAGATAAAATGTAAATAACTTGTTTCCTTTAAATTTGGGGCTTCACCTTTGGAATTTCACAGTGTGCTAAGATTTCAGTGTGCTCAGAGGTCTTTTTGCAAGATGAATGTTATTAAGTAACTTATTTATAAAAGTATTACAATAATGCCGAATTTGAATTTTATTGCTAATTTAACTTACAAAGATTTTTCTATGCATCAAATGTAACTTACTGGTACTAAACTTAATTTAATATTTACTCTATAACCAAATGAAATATATTTAAAATATATTGAATATTTTATATCTTGACAAAATTACAATATTGTAATGTACTAATATTTCTGTAATTATAGCTAAAATATTTTATTGTATTGTCTAATAATAAAATTGAAAAAATTATAGCTGGTCTTATTTTTTTCAAAAAGGAAATAAATTTAATTTTTTTGAATCGCAAAAATATATGTTCACTATAAAACAGGGGTTCCCAACCCCTGGGCCGCAGACTGGGACCAGTCCACAGCCTGTTAGGAACTGGGCCACTCAGGAGGTGAGAGGCTGGTGAGCCAGCAAAGCTCCCCACCTGTATTTGTGGCCACTCCCCAGTGATGGCATCACCACCTCAGCTCCACCTCAGATCATCAGGCATTAGATTCTTATAAGAGCCCTGGTCCCTGGTGCCAAAAAGTTGGGGACCGCTGCTGTAAAAAAAGACAATACGGAAGTTATGAAGAATATAAAAATTGTCATGCTCTAACCTTCCACACTCACCCAAGATAATTAAGTATATATCTTTATTATATACATAATATATACTTCTGAATTTTTCCTGTAAATATTTTTAAACAAAAATGCAATAAAAACACAATTTTGTAACCAATTTTTTTTTTTAAGTTTAACATACTGTGGACTTATTTTCATATCAGAAGATAAGAGGTAATCATTATTTGCATGGATTTACTACATAAGTCAATGAATCCCCAATTGATGGACACTTAATTTAGTTTTATTAAGGACATATTATGCATATTTCACATCTCTTCAATTATTTCCTCAAGATAAATCTCTGAAAGGGAAACTGTAGAATCAAAGGACTCACAATTTTAGGACTCACAAAATGCTCTCCAGGAAGGCTGTTAGAATTTCCAGCCACATCAGTGATGGAATGAAAATCCCCATCTCTTTATGCTTTTCCCAGTGCTAGATATTGCTGTTCTTTTACAGTTTTGCCTATCTCGTTTTAATTTACATTTTGCTCATTATCAGTGAGGCTGACCATTGTCACTTTTAATTTTTTTTTAATTAGTATTTTTTATTAGGGCTTATTTTTGTTTTCCGGTGAAGAGCCTAATCACATTTTTGCTCACTTTCTACTGAGGTCTTGAAGGAGTTTTTACAAATCGATAAGAAAACATATAGATTACAGAAATTATGGGTTATGTATTTCAATTAAATGTTTCCCATTTATAATATAAATACTCCTCATTTAAGAAAAAATATTCATAAAATTTCAAATGTAGAGAATTGGTAAAGAATATTTTGAATATGAAATCTCGTAATTAAGGAACTTACAGGCTACGTTGAATGGCAATAAAGATATAATCAAAGGAAGAAACAGAATGAACGGTGATCCTAGGTAATAATTCTAAGACCAACAAAATTGTTGCCCCAATATTTTAGAACTATTCTCATAATTTGACCAAAAATCTAGTTTGAAAACATTTTGAGTCAAAAAATGTACTAATACATTCTGATGAACTTATTTTTACTGCTATCAAGTAGAAGGAATGCTGTATCTGAGCTCATTCTCTCTACTTAGAAGCCTGTTTGGAAAGTAAAATCTTGATCAGTCTCTAATGGATTCTTAGCAACCTAGTGACAGGGCAAATGCAGAACATGAAGAGTACCTAATTCGCCACCTCATCCCAATCCCAGCTCTGCCTACTGGAAACTAAGAGACAACCAAACACAGAGGAAAAAGTGATTTTGAATGACCAGGCTAAATTTAAACCTTCAGATAAATATGACCCTCTCTTGGTTTTTGTAAACTCTATGGTGTTTCTAAAAATTGCTGACATTGCTCAAAAACCTTTTGGAACTATTGCTTTAGAATTACCTTCAATTCCAAAATTTATCAGCCAAACAAGGAAATAAGTCTACAAGATCTACAACATGCTAAATATGTTTACCTCCATGGTACATATCCAGGTGAGATATAGACCGTGGTCTCAAACACAGAACTTATAACCTGGTAGGGGAAAATAAGCCAAATACGAAGATAATTAGAATATTGGATAGAATGTGATAAGTACTATAAGAGGTGAAAGATAGTGATTCAAACATTGGAGGCCTCGGGAAATAATTCATAAAACATGGGGCACTTTAGTCTATTAAGGTAGTTAGGATTTCACAAAGAAGGTGGTCAGAGGCAGAATGACATGCTAGGTGGCAGGAATAGCACTGTTAGAAAAGCAATCTCAGAGAAAAATTAATGTTCAAGAATATATACATATGTATCTCATATACCACACATGTAAACAGTAGCACAGTAGGAGGTAAGGGCCATTTTAGGTAGGGTGTAGAACACCAGGTTAAACTTGAATTTCATTGGTTGCTACCAGAGATCCATTGAAGATTTTGAGCAAAAAAGTAGAATGATCATATAAACAGTACCCTGAAAGATCCAGTATTTTATATCCTGCTCTTGCTAGGCTCTTTCATAGTTTTAAGGTTTTCGGGAGTAGCACAGTAGGAGGTAAGGGCCATTTTAGGTAGGGTGTAGAACACCAGGTTAAACTTGAATTTCATTGGTTGCTACCAGAGATCCATTGAAGATTTTGAGCAAAAAAGTAGAATGATCATATAAACAGTACCCTGAAAGATCCAGTATTTTATATCCTGCTCTTGCTAGGCTCTTTCATAGTTTTAAGGTTTTCGGGCGGGGGGGGGGGTTGTTTGTTTTTTTCATTTATTGAATTGCTGTTATGGACTTTAGGATTTGTAAGACCATCAGTTCTTTCTAAATGTGGGGCTTCAAATTTGGGGTATCACAATTTGTAAAAATAGATTCCTTGTGGGTCCAATGTCTAGGAAGAATTAGAGAAAGAAAAAGATTAGAGATAGCGAGGCCAGTTAAAAGGGTTAACAACCCAGATGATGTGTAACAGTCTAGCAGTGGGAACAAAAAATACAGAGAAAGTAGACAGACATTGAGGTGGGGCACTTTAAAGGACAGGGGACTTGGAAGACAGTAAAAGATGACTTTGGAATTTTGAACCTTGGCGACTTGAAAAAAATAATCTTTCCATTAACTGAAAAAGGAAATTTAGGAGAAGGTGTCTGGACTGGGTTGAAGGAGAAAATTTGAGTTTGAAACCCTGTTGGGACCAAAGCTCCAATGGGACACTTAGGAAGAACTGGCTAGAACTACCGTGACAGGATGAGACTAAACTGATGTAATTTATCTAGGTTTCTATGCCATCTTTTCTCACAAAAGATCTAAGGCAACTGTGGGGTGAAAAGATAGTGATTCGTTGAATCATAAACAGCAATGGCCGCATTAATGATGGAATAGAAGACCCAGTATGCAGCTTTATCACAAAATACAAGGGAGCAGTTTCCAGGTATGGGAGGAAAAAAGCTTTTTTTTTTTAAACACCTATCACAAGCGTTCAGTGCTTTCATGTACCACACTGTTTCATTTAACAAAATCAAATGATTCTGGAAGCTTAAGGGTGATCAGGATGAAGGAAAAAGACTTTGGATTAATAACTGGATTACAATAGTCAATGTAAGAAATGTCCAAATCTGTAGAGAATTTTTATGAGTTTATCTGAGCCAAACTGACAACATATGCCGGGGAGCAAGATCTCAAATGCTCCAGACAGCAACAGTTTACAGTTTTCTTTTAATCATTTGAAATTAAGCAGTGAACATAAGGAAGATTACACTGAGATGAGAAAAAGTGGGGATTGGATTATAGGATAGTTACCAAGATTATATGTTTTCTTGAGAGTGGTAATGGCTTATTTCAAAAGTATATTAACCGAGATGCACAGAAATAATGGACAGACCTCGTTTAAGCCAAAGATAAAATCTTTTACTAAAAGTTATATGCCTGGGTAGTGACTGCTCACCATGACCTACCCAGTTAAGAATTTCTGATCAGATCATCCCATGCGGTTACTTTCCACAGAACTCCTTTTGTTGTCCACACAATCTTTATTTAAAAGTTTGTTCTTCTTGGAGGAGGGGACAGGAGTAAAACCAAATTGCAACTAATTAGAGGTGAAAGGGCACTCGTGGAAGTAGTGGGGTCTTCCTTACCAAAGGTTTTGCCCATAGATGGCTTACCTAGTTAGGTCCCTATCTTCTCCCCAAAAGCTTGGTTTGGAATGACTGATCAGTCCTAAAATACATCTATTCTTAAATAACAATATGCCACTATTAAGAACGGACCCCGAAATGCCATTCTCAGTGGGCCTCACAAAATATTGTGAATGGTAACATCTCTGGAGTATTTTGAGAGTCTAGGGAAGAACAGACTCTCCTAATATGTTTTGTTCAGTTGTTAAAATAAGGTCATACAAAGCATTCCGTCCCAATGATGGATGGTGGACAAGATACTCATCCCCCCACCCCCTCCACCACCCCAGAAAGTTAGCAGTCAGATGGTGAGATCCATGGAGAGATGGTTAGATCCAGGGAGAGCTTTCGGGAGCTTAACAAGACTGCTAACTGCAGTGCAACCTAACTTCCAGAATTCTCGACCTGGAGGATGAGTGGCGCCAGTCAGAGCAGGGGTCACTGTAGAGGAGGACATGTGAGCGCTAGAGAGCTTAAAGAGTCATCGAAGTTCGTGTTTAAGTATCACCCGCAGTGCTGATGAAATCAGCAGATCCTAGGCCTCAAACCAGAGATTTTGATGCAGGTAGTCCGGAAAACTAGCCATGTTAACTGGCTTCGAAGGTTTACTTGCAAACAAGCTGTGCTGAAAGATTCCGAGCTCTACTAAGTATACGTGCGGACCCAAAACGTCCGGTGTAACGCTGCTTCTTGCGGTTCGTGCACAGCAACGAGTCCCGGGACCGCCGCGGCGCAGCCCCCGAGCCCGTGCGTGAGTCTCGCTTCCGCCCTCCCGCGTCACGTGACCGCCGACCTGCCTCAGCTACGGGTCCTGGGAGCGGCCATCCCGGGCCGTTCTCGCGTCTCTCCCGGCCCGCTGCGGGCCGCTCCGGCCGGTGTTTTGCCCGGGCGCCTCCGTGCGCTCGGCCAACGGCCTCCGAGAGCGCCCGCCCCAGCGCCCCGGGAGCCGGCGGGCGGCGGCCCTCGCTGGAGACCCTCCAGCGGGCCCAGAGGTGAGTGCTGGCGTCTTCCCGACCCGGGACCGGCGGCCCGGCCCCGCGATGTGAGCCTCTGGCCAACCGAGGGACCTGCGGCGGCCCTGGGGCGTCCGTGGTGTCTCCCTGGCCAGGGTCCCGACCCCCGGGCTTCTCGTCCTCAACCCTGGCCTTCTTCCCCAAGCCCCTCCCCAGGGCCTTGCGGCCCTTCCTCAGTCCCTCAGTCCCTGGGGAGGAGCTGCAAGGGAGAGCAGCGTCCTGTCCTGCAGACGTCTGCGGGCTAGCCTCGCCGCCCTGTCCCTTATTGTCGATAAATTTGGACTTTTTCTTCTAGAAAGTGGTTTGGGGGTTGGGAACCACTAGGGGAGCCCTGAGCTTGAATGCGGCGCTTTGCTGGTCGTCTTCCCCCTTCTCTCGCTGCCCAGGCCTTGGCGTCTGTTAAGTATGACCTTGAACCAGGCATCTGCCGTCTTTAAAAGTAGCTTTTTGTTTGTATTTTTTACTTTGTGGAAAGTACATGTTCGAAAAGAAAGGCCAGTTGGCAGCCTGGGCATCCGCGGGAGGCCTAGGTCGGCCCAGCCCGCGAGCGTCCTTGCTCGCAGGTGCGGATGCCGGGAGATGCTCCGTGGATTTCCTGCCAGGGCCTGGATGCAGGAGGAGAGCTCGAGTTCCCGGTCCGCCGAGCCCCCGACCTTGGTCTGCTGCACGAATCCTCATTCTAAAATAGAGGAAAGCACCCAGCTGCGTCCTACAATATTAGAGCAAGTGGCATTCTCTCCAGGGAGAACCCTTTCAACAGCGGAGGCGGCTTTTAATTGCAGATCGGAAAAGCCTGAGGCCCTTGTTCCTTGTTCCCAGATACAGAAACAGTTACAACCAGGCCTCCCATCCACTGAGAGACTTTAGACTTTAACTGAGGGACCTTGAATGTTTTCTCTTCCTAGATGAAAAACATTTGTTTCTGTGTCAATTTCGTTAGCTAATGAGATCACAAAGGAAAAACCCTTAGGAAAATGGATTTGGAAAAATTAGAACGATTTAGTTGTACTCAGTGGTCTTTTCCCACGTAATTAAATTATATGAAGACCAGTGGTCTTTTGGTTTCAAAGCCTTGTGAATCGGTTTTGCTAGTCTTTCCAAAAGGACATTGTGTGTTCTGTCCCTTCCTGTCTGATAGGGCCGCCTCATCTTAGGATGACAAAGTTTAGCTGTTACTCTCCTTCCTTCTGCTGTTCAAACTTTGTTTTCTTTTGGATTCATAACTTTATTTTGAAATTTGATAGTTGATGTTTTTCCAAGTTTTCAGTATCTTTTCTTTAGAAAAACTACAGTTATTCCTGGATCTCTACGTACCCTGATTTTCTATTACACACATTCTTTTACTTGCTTATAAAGAGAACTGAAACAGGGCGACCTAGAGAAAAACCTTGAACTTGGTACACATAATAATAGGTGCTAAAGAACCAGACATTTTTGTTTGTAATTTGAGACTTACTAAAAATCTTTGTAACCACAATCAATTTGATCCAAGTTGTTTCTGTGACTTACTAGGCTTTTTCTCTGGGTCCCAGTGTTCTAATATAGAAAACGAGAAAGTCAGGCTTGAAACATTCTGTCCCCACATTGGGACACATTCCATGAGTGGGATGTGACTTGACTCTAGGTGGTGTATGGATAGAGGTTTTTTGTAATAGTTTTTGTTAATGTGTATTTAGCCTGTGATTTAAGGTAGTAGTATAAAATGTCCTTTTAAAATACATTTATTTAAGATTTTTTAAAAGTTGAATTAAAGAAAAGATTAAGTGTAGCTGAGAGTAAAAGTACTGTGCGAATATAGGAAAGACCATGAAGTTGGTAAGTTAATGATATTTGGGAACCACTGGGCTTAGAAAGTAGAGATTTCCATTCACCTGTGATTTTAAGATGGGTTTTATCTCCTTAGTTATATAACAGAATCAGTACTGGTTACCTAGTAGATTGTGACAAAACTTCTGGAATTAATATCTTAATTCCAAATGGGAAGTTTATTTTTATTGCCAAAAGAGATTACCAAAAAATGCCTTGGTCTAATGAGGAAGGAAAAAAATATAGATTTCGAACTATTTTGCTTATGCAGAAACCTAGCAATTGAGACAATTCAGTGTTAAATCTTAGTAGAAAGCTCCATTTACTTTTTAAATTTAAGTAGCTCAGATTGGCTATAGTAGTATTTGGCTTTGTTCAGAAATGGTCTTTTCACTGGCCACCTTTGTGATCTACGTCTGTGATGCTTTACAAACCTTAGAGAGTCTCATAAGATAAGATGTTGCTATAGGATAAAATGTTGAGACCCGTGGGCCGTACTAGTGGAAGGTTAATAAGACTGAATGAAATTCAGTAAATGGAGTGTGGAGAATCACACATTTCAGGGAGATAAAGTTTTAGCAATTTGCTCCCCTCATTTATTATTATAAAATTTCAATTTGTTATATTCCAAGATAATAATCCTCTTGAGCTATCTCTTTTCAGCGTTATTTCTAAATATAAGCTTTTACTGTGCTTCAGATACACAGATGTGTAGGAAGAGTCTCATCTAGAATGATGTACAAAAATTGATAGTGGAGGTTGCCTGTGGGGCCCTGAGTGGTTAGAGGATAGGATATGATGGGACACTTTATTATCTCTGTATGTTCTTGTGTACTTTGTACCGTGTGCACATATTACTAGTTTAAATTAAAAACTGCGTGAAATTGTGAATGAAATTAAATACTGAATGAACTAGCTAACTGAAAATTTAGCCAATGCATTCGTTTCTTTTTAATATATTTGTGGATATATCTATGTATACTTGTATATATATACATAAGTGTTAAGATTCTCTTGAACTTATCTATTTTTCATTTGCTACATTTTTCTAAGTTCAGATCAGAAATGATGAGTTTTTTACCTTGCATTAAGAAATGAATGGTTGTAAGGCCCTGTCTGTGAGACTAAACAGGGTGGTAAGCTTATTAATTTTTTTCTTTATTTTATTGAGCTTTTTAAATGTAAGATTGTGTATCTTCAATGACTTTTATCATTTGGAGGATTTCCAGCAATGAATTTCTAATATGATATCATCTAGTTTCTCAATTAGCTCCTGTTTTTCTCCTCCAGGGACAAAAGTGGCTCTAAATCCAGCACGTGCACATTGAAGCAAGTTAAAGGATTTACTATGACGCACAGAAGCAGATTAGTGCCCAATAGCAAGTAGTAGTTGGTACACGTTTGTGAGTAAAAAATTTCTCTTTTGGCTCTGTTTTCTTAGTCTTTAAACCACCTGCATGTCAAATCCTTGAAATTCACACATTTTAGTGACAGATAAAAGAAGCAAGTTAGCACTTTTAATCAACCAGTGTCCCTCAGCAATCTCTAAGAACTCTGGAATTCAACCTGTAATTCATCTCTGTGACATGGAGTTTGAGAAATATCCCAGCTATGACTTAAAATTATACCGTCCTTAATTTTTTATTGCCCTTGATATCTTTTGCTGAAAATTTAGTATGGTTTGATTTTTGAAGTTATTTCTTTTTAAAGAAAAGACTACTACTATTACATCAATTTTTTAGGCTACCTCAGATGCATTTACTTTTGCCCTTTACATTCTCTTCATTTCTTCATTTGTACTGAGTCAAAAAAAGAAGAGGATTTTTTTCCCCTTCAGAATATAATGAGTAGAGGAATTTTATGGCAAATTTTTTTTTTCTAATCTGACTTCACATTCGTGTATACATTTGATTAGCTTTCATTTGTCGGCAAAATCATAAAACAGTGGCTGTGCTTAAATTTATCTTTACGAATTTTGAGATATAGAATAACTCTTTTTTAGGAGACATTTGAAAAATAGTTTCTCAGACCAAGCCCCAAGCCTTGCTTTAAATCCAGAAATAATCTTAAGTAGACATTTACTTTTATTCATAGTTTTCTTATAAAATGAATTGTTGAAATACTGATTTTTATTCTTTCTTTTTTACAGCTGGAAAGCAGTGTCCGTGTTGTTATGTACACCTCCAAAAAAGTTCAGATCTGTAGGGGAATTGTTGTGTAAACTAAACTGAACTACAGGGTAGCAGTATTTTAATAGCTATTATAGACGTGTATTTACTGTATTAAAAATGAGTAAAAGAAAAAGCAGTGACACACCAATAGGAAGGTCAGTGACATTTTATTCAGTTGAGCTAGTATTATAGGCTTGAGAGATAGTGGCTTCAAAGCTCATTGCACTGGGCTAATCATGCTCTTTTACATTTTTATCAGCATTTTGTATTTGGGGGCAACATCCTAGTGCATCTCCCTAGAGCATGGATCCTTCTCTATTTTAGAAGGTTACTCAATGCATCCGTATCTCCTTAAAGGCAGCATGTCGTGCTTTTTAAAAATATACATGTAAATATGATATTAAATACAAATTAACAATGCGAAACTTTCAGTTCCTCAGAATGAATGTATACATTAAGGATTTATCAGTACATATGCTACATTTGGTATTCATTGCATCTCAATCAGATATACATTCAGCAAGAGAGGTTTTAATTTGTATTTGTGATTTTCGGGGGGTTGCATCTTTTTCAGTAAATTTGAATTAATCTAATTTGCCTTATACATCTGATTTTCATCCTTAAAAGGCTTTATTTTTTTGTGTGCATGGCAGCAGTTTCAAATTTCATTTTTATAACGTCCTAGCCGCTTTCCCTAAAGTAATTGATTAGGAAATTTT